GGCTATGGTTACCAGTCTACAAAATCATTAAGTGTTTAAACTCGCTAATAACCTGACTGTCTTCTTTCAGGCGAATCTTTCTGACCAGGCGGTAGAAGTGGATTCGCAGGCAGCATAACCGCTTTTCCACTTCTGAAAAAGCGATCGTCTCGAAACGGCGGGATAAAGGCGTTGTTCGACGTCCAGTTTCCGTAACTGTCTGAACATACATCCAGTGCAACGCTGTAGGCGGAACCAGGTGTTTCACTGGACAGGTCGCTGATCGAGTCTTCAAACGACTCTGAGTGTTTCTTCGCCTCCGTGCTAGAGACGGCGCTCGAGTAGACGGGAGACGTCCCAGCTACAGGTTTTCGTTGGTCACTCTTCTTTTCGACCATGAACTCAACGTTGTTGGCAAGTGGACTGGCCAAAACTCGTCGCACATTCCTGGGCGACCTCGTATCCTCGCGCTTTTCATCACGTAGAATCCATTCCGGATGAGCTTTTGCTTCTTGAATCGTTTTTCTAATGTTCGACACCGCTGGTTTCGACGGCGACCACTTTCGTGGAACCACGTCATCGTCGTCGCTGCTGTGTTGATCATCAAATTCCATGGGACGTTGCGTCTGAGCCTTTCGCGAAATCGCTGCAACATGGTCAGATTTGAGCCCCCTTTTCGTATTAGGAGTTTCTATAGACACGTGCACTTCTTTTCGGGGGGACGAAATATCAGGCTTTGAAATTTCTGCTTCCGTGGGTTCAGCAAAGTCACGAAGAGTCTCTGAGTTTGTCAGCAGGTCTCTGTCGGCCTGAGTTGCGGCATCGCTGACCGAAGTCCTCTGAGTTTTGTTATCGCATGTAGGAGGTTCTGCCGACTTTTCGCTTAGACGGTCAGACTTCAGCTTGGGCTTCAGTGATGTCGTAAGCCGCTGACTGTCCTCAGTTTGACTTTCGAAGCCAAACGAGTGAACGGACTTTCCATCGCTTCTGGCCTTATTGATAATATCACGGATTTTATGTGATACAGCCCTTTCTTCCAAAGCTCCAACGAGTGTTCCGTTTACAATCCTAATGGTCGAAACAATAATATTCAAATTCACCAATGCATTGCACTATCGAAAGAAACATACCCGTTTATCGTAGCTGGCATTGTCACTGAAGCACTGCTTCTCTTGTTCAGTTCTTCATTGTTACTACTCGAATTTATCTGATCCTGAAATTAAACCATGTCCATTATATGCTTGGTCAGGTTTAAGATAATGCACAAATATTTCACTGTGCCTGACAGAACAGAGTGCATACTTTGAGAAACTGCATGACGAAAGCAGAATGGCAGCCATCAACGAAGCAATGATCTGAGTAGTTCACGAATACTGAATATTGAGTTCCTTATCGTTCTGAATGCTTGCCTCAAAAGGCAGAGGAAATTACAGAAAAGTTTTTTTCTTCCAGATTGGAATGCTGGTCGGCAGAGGTAAAACATTCAGCTAGAGACAGAGAGCTCCGAAATTCGAGCCCTTACCAGGTAATTAGCTTTTTCTTCGTTTTAAGGTTTTCAAATGAGTACCGCTCAGTAGGAAGAAAACAGGAAATTGTGCATTATGGTTTTCACCAGATATAACCTTAGGAAAAAAGGAATACGAAGACACACTTTGTTAATGTTACGGAAACAACTGACAAAAGTTTCATGAGAAAAGGTCCATCAGTCGTGAAAATGTAAAGGAGACCGATATCCCAACCGCTAGGAACATTTTTTCCTTCCTAAAAGTCTTCATACTGTGGCTAGTGTAAAGAAAGAACAGAACATGTACACACAAAGGGAAGTAAATGTTATGTTACAGTGAATTATCATATGATTGGCGAAATTTTTGCATTGTACATAATTATACCATGAATGTTTTTTAGCATGACTAATACAGTGACAATATAGTCAATCGAGTAAACATCATTCTGGAATTATGCCTTCTTTCAGACTAAACTGTGCTATAAAATCCAACCCTTCCTATTCAGTATGCGAAAAATGTATCACCAGGAAAGAAGACATTATAAAAATTGCTTAAGGAATGTTTATTTTTACATATATTACACAAAATTGAAATACTATCCTTAGGATAATATCTGACTACGGCAAAGAACGACAAAATGTTGACGGCTGTAGAGGTTAACATGCCTTACGAACTGAAGTAGAAAACGTCTGAAAATACAGACCGAGAGAAAAACGTGGAGATCACGTTATACAACGATTGAAAGAATAAACAAGTCAAAGTACAGTATCTTCGCCAATTCGTTGAAGACATCCATGTGCATCAGATTTTCAACTAGCTGTCAAGCAGCAGGCTGAAATGTGTAACCAAAGCCATTCTAACAGCCGTCCAAGACAAAGCGACTAACAGAAACACTGCAAGTGAAGATCATGCATACGCAGTTTGAAACAAGATGCCGGATTTGTCATGGGCAAATGAGAACTCGACCCCTATAATGTCTGGCTGGGAAAAGCTCACGATTTGGAAATACAACGAACAACACAACAACATTGCAAGAATAACGCAATGGCTTGAGAGTGGAAAAACAACAATAGAAATATCTGCCGAAAGTGTGGATAAGACTGAGGAAGCGGAAATACCCTGAGAACTTCCAAATTCCAGCCAGAAACAAGCATTGACTCATCGTCCGGATATCGTGCTGCTACACAGGACGAAAAGGCATGAAAAAATTATCAATATGGAATGCCCGCCGATGGTAACGCAGTTGTTGAGTTGAGAGTAAACACAATGTAACAGAAAGGACTGAGATCGATATGAGGAAAACTTACTGAGTACTGGCCAAAGTCATTCCTGCGGTGAGCAGAGCAGTGAAAAAACTTGCATCCACTAAGATCAGTTGATGAAACGTTATGATCAATGTAAGGGCACTGCAGAAGGCGATGCTATTAGAAACAGGCAGGATACTGAGAAGAATATGTGGCTACTTATCATAACATAGTCAAATTGACGTTATATTCACACCACTGGTTTGACATTTTATGGAGTGTGATTGAAACAAACAATATTTCATACAGGATTAATATTAACTGATGCACAGATAGACCGAGAATCTTCATCTTCATCTTCCATCGCCGCTTCTCCTTTCGGGTCGCGGAGGCAGACGCGTCAGAC